CCCCAAAACCCCAAAACCCCATGACACGTAATTGTGTTTTGATCGTAGATATCTATAATTATAAATAGTAATTTAAACAGATCATGAACACTTCTTCAGCTTATTTAGATATAGAGCAAGATAAGCTCCCGTTTGAAAATTTGGATTAAAATCATCAATGTAAAATACTATTAAATTAAACTAAAACTAGTTAGGTATTTAGAGAATCCAGAAGATCAGCAATAAAACTGATATCAAATTGATACATTCTAGTAACCAGGTACTAACATATAGAATAACATTCCAAGATAATAAAATCCAAATGAGGAATCAAAGAATAGTTAATAGAAAGTTAAACTTACCTTTAAAAACATTAAATATTCAGTACATGTTAAGTCCACTAGAAAATAAGTAAAAATGAATTAAGGGAAGCCAATTTAAAAAGATATTTTGAAAGATGTGAGTGGATATGCCCTTCCTGGCGAGGTGCTGTATCTTATTGGGTCTTCAGGTTCAGGTAAAACTTCTCTACTTAATGTTATTTGTGATCGAATTATACCCAATAGGAACGTTAAACTTTAAAAGAATGTCATAATAAATGATAGAAAAGAACTTGATTCAAGATCTTTTTCAAAACTAGGAGCTTATGTGATGTAAGATGATATAATTTTTGATTTCTTCACTCCTAAAGAGGCTCTTAGATTTGCTTGCAGACTCAAACTTAAAGTTGATAAAGCTACTTAAGATTAGCTGATATTAAAGTTATTGGACGAATTGGGACTTAACAATGTACAGAATACGAGGATAGGAGGAAGAAGGAAAAAATTACTTTCTGGTGGGGAAATGAAAAGAGTAGCAATTGGAATAGCTTTGATAACTGATCCTTTACTGTTAATATTGGACGAACCAACCTCTGGTATAGATAGTTTTAGAGCCATGAAAATAGTAAAATTACTAAAGAGGTAGGCTGAGAAAGGAAAAACAGTTATTGCTACTATACATCAACCAAGTACTGAGGCTTTCAGGCTATTTGATAGAATACTATTAATGACTGATGGTTTAGTAATTTATGAAGGAGTACCTCCTCATTCATTAAAATATTTTAAAAGTATTGGATTCCCTTGTCCCAAGTACTCTAATCCTTCAGATTACTATATGTCTAATATTCTAACGGTAGATTATCCAAAGACTGAAAAATTTGAAAGAAAACTACAATTTTTGCTGGATAACTATTAGACATATATAGTGCCATTAGTATTAGAGGCGGAGGGAAGTGTTATTTTGAATGACGTGGACAGAGACATTATGACTTAAGTCACTAGTATTAGAGAATAGTTCAGATAATTGATTGGAAGAGAGATTCTGGGATAAATTAGGAATCCTTAGCATTTAAGAGTAAAAGTAGCTAGATAAATAATAGTAGGTCTTCTTATTTTAGCAGTATTTTTTGGGTTAGATGGTAACAATGCCTAAGATATTAAGGGTTTATCAGGATGTCTATTTTTCATTGCAGTGAATTAGACAATGATGTATTTGTTTTCATCGCTTATTGTTTTTCAAGAAGAAAGGCCATTATTTCTAAGAGAATACTCAGAGAAAATGTACAGACTAATTCCTTACTTTCTTACAAAAGTTATTGTAGATATACCACTAGGTATTCTCCAAGCTATTATATTTTCAATTGTAGTATATTTTGGCATAGGAGTCATAGTAAATGCCTGGCTTTTTTTCAGATTTTTATTTGTTGTGCTACTAATTGGGTTTACAGGGAATGTTGGAGGCTACTTTATATCATCATTATTTAGGTAAACTGAGACTGCCGTATTGTTTGTGCCAGTATTCCTAATGCCCCTGATATTGCTGGGAGGTTTCTTTGCTAATATTGGCAAAACGTAGAGATGGATTGTTTGGATGCAATATCTGTCGCCTATTAGATTTGGTTCTGAAGCATTATTATAAAATGAGTTTTCAAGTAGAACTGATATCCCACCTGCTGCAAATCCGTTAAATATATTCAATTACAATCTTGGCTATTGGCTATCTATGGTTTTGCTGGTTTGTTTGGCTATTGTTTTGATGATTTGCGGAATGATTTTTTTGAAGTTTTTCATTTCAAGGCCTTAATGATTCACTTAGATAATTAAAACTAATTTTCTCCATTTTTCAACAATTTTACTTTTATTTAATACTATGGGGTTTTGGGGTTTTGGGG